GTCAAAATATTCATGTGAATCCGCACGAAACCGAGAACAATTTAAATCAAAATGTCTCCGCGACAAGTAAAGCTAGCGAACGAACACAAAAGTAAACACTAACGTTAATCTCATGGCCAGCGAAACGTATCAAGGTCGCGAGACTTCAAAATTATTGCTCGAAATAACCGATAGCGAGAGCGTCCATTTCCAAATTAATTTAAACGCAACTCTAACTCTTCCACCGTTATTTTATTAATAGATCGCACGATAGAGAAATTCAAAACCAAAATAAAATCACAGCCTCGCGAGACAAATTATCCACGCGTTCAAACTCAAATCTCAGCCTTTGAACGCAACGACAACGCGACTAAGTGAAATAAAGGAAACTGCATTCCAACGTGAGAAAACGAGAGAACGAGAGAGAGCTGTACGAAGTATTTTGTTACAATAATTCTGATCAGAGTAGCCAGGACTCCATCAGGTAATTAATGAAAAAAACTACAGTCCTACGCGACTTAGATGTGCGGGATATCTAATCAAATTTTGTAGTCTTTACCCAAAGCCCTGCCCACGTGATAAATAACAATTTTCACCGAATAGAAGTAACCATCACGCTCACCCACGAGTCCGGTCTGCTGCGTTTGCCAAAAACCCTCCACTCTGCCAAATACTCCAGCAAATCCCGCTTGCCACGAAACCCATCGATTCTAGATTCCCAAAAAGGACTTCTCGGACTCCCCAAAACGGTTCCAGCTCCAGGGCAATTGCTTCGCCACCAAATTTTAGACGACGCTCGGATTATTGATGGCTACTCTACGAACACCAAACGGAAAGTGAGGTGGATTTTCCCGTAATTACGATGCTAAACGCCGAAAACGCGGCAACGAGCCCCATTGGCTCATCCGTGACAGCAACTCTCCATTTAGAATCCGAGTTACCAGGATTCAGCCATTTTCCCCAGCATATCTAGTCAGCCTGCGTAACATTCGCGCATGCGCAACGCCAACCTCCAACATAAATCTCCATCATAAAATTATGTATCCCTTAGGATTAATCAGAACCTTCAGTAGTCATGCTCGAAAACTGTCCCATGGCCGCAACTATTCCTCCGAAACTCCAAAATAAAGCTGCTTTCGGATTTTCACACTTTTCTCCACTCCTCTCTCTCCTCTCCCAATCATCAGGTGTTTGTGTCACGCTCCATCAACGTCACCCCGAGAGCTAGCGACACCTAGGCTGTCCGAAGACCCATGATACTCGCTCGGTGAAACCCGAAGTCCTCTCGGAATCCCTCATGAATATTCAGCGTCTCCGAAGTCCTTCTCGATGTCCCTCGTAGACTCTCGAATCCCTTAAAGTCCTCCGACGACATCTCCATTTGAGAGTGTGGCAGCGCCAAATTCGATTCAAAATGAAACATATGAAAATAAATAACGAAACGAAATTCTAATTATGACTCTCGCTATCGGCGGTTGATTTTCCGTCTGGTGATTTTCTTCAACTTACCCACACGCGAAACGGTCGAAAACAATAATATTTGTGATGGATAATGCAGGGTGTCCCTGAAGTACATGCCGATCTGAAACCGGCAGGTTCACGGGGACATCCTGAACAGAAAAGTCCTTTTCCACTTTTTGATCAGAAGCACCCCTGAGGAGTTATTAGAGTGAGAAGGATAGCCAATGGCGCTACAGCGTTCGGCAGCGTTTAGCTGTACGCCCGTGTGGCTGTGCGCATCAGTGTGCGTGATGCCCCTTCCACTGAGCAGGAGGCGGGATAGAGTTCCCCTTCCACTCGTGAGCGAGAGAGAGAAGGAACGATACTTCTCTGTCTCTCTTATTATGTTTTTGGAGGGGATTACGAAAGAGAAAAAAAATGATTCTTTCCTCTCTCGCTTTGAGTAAACAATTAATAATTGTTAATTGTTTACGGAATCGCCACATCTCTGATTTTTTTATTTTGATGGAATTTTGCTAAAAAAAATATTTTTGTAATTAACTCGTAAACAAATGGGTTTACAGCATTTTGCAAAAAAAAACTTGTTTGAAACACAACTAAAATTCCAGAATATTCTGGTCGACCATCGGTCTACTTCTAAAATCTTCGGGACCCTTCGGGTCATCAGTCATAAGTGACCGAAACACGCGCGAATCAGTTTAGGCTTAGCCTCTCACCGTACAATTCTAACTCGGGTAAATCACCTGCGGAAGTCTTTCATCGCACCTCACCGAGTACAGTAGCTTCTTGAACCTCACTTAGCTTACTAGTAACCAAGTACAACACCGGTCTTTGTAAGATCAACGTTTCGTTCAGTACATCATCTCAGTTTTATCCGTCTAAATTCAACTATTATCAGTGATTCAACTTTATTAAAATTGCAGAAAATCAGCCGTGATTTTAAGACACTCAACAGTGACATTTAATACCAAAGAGTGTACAAGGAATTTATTTAACGACGTGGTTCGATCCCACGAATAAATAGTGATATTTTTATAATCAGTGCCATCATTAATTTTCCAGTATCTCCCTCCACATTTTTCTCCCACATCCACCCTAAATCTAGTTCCTCACCAAACAAAACTTTTTTGTAGAAGATCAAATTTCCTGCAAAGAACGTCCTATGGTATAATAACGTAAACCCAATAGTTTATTACATAATTACATAACAATATTAATTATATTTTTGTAATTATTTAATAAACTACTGAATTTAGGTTATTTCATTATAAGACCTTTTTTGTAAGAAATTAGATTCCCTACAAAAAACAATAAATGGTAAAATGTTGTAAATCCATTTGTTTACAAGATAATTGTAAAAAAGTGTTTTTCAACAAAAATATCCACGAAAATCAAAGCCCGTCCCTTTCCCATTTTTGAGACAACTGTTTAATTGCTAATTATCTCAAAAATCAAGAGAGTTAAGGAATTTTCTCTTAAGATATTTTTTGTTGTCAATTAAATTTACCACAAAAAAGGTATGTTTGAAATTCAGCTATTCAAACTAGTCAAACGATCACTGGGCTCAACGAAAATATCGAGAAACTTCGGGACCCTTCGGCGTCACGATCAGCTACGAAGAAAATCCCCGAAAAAGTCAGTAGTATCGTTCTAGTCACCGAGAGAGTCACTCTAATCACAATATTGTATCGCCGTAACCGCTCAATCGAGGACATCACCGGAGTACATCAACGCGATATATTTGAGTTTAGCGCTTCGTACAGCGTCTCTATTCAATTTAATTATATTATCAATTGATTCCGAGTTAACTATCAATTATTTTGAGTCAATCATCAACTTTAATATCGAGAGAATCTCAAGTGCAGTGCATTTTCAAATCAGCATTTAATTGATTTTTTCGAGCAACTCAACAGTTTAACATTATTAATTTATCAAGACGCGTGGGTTATTCCACAATAAAGTACATCAACAGTGTGGTTTTATAATTCCGCGTGTTTTAATTTTCCACCTCCTTCCACAATTACACTTTTCTCCAACCGGCATCTCAATTTAGCTTCAATCTCAAACAAAGTCTTCTGACAAAATCCAGTAAAATCTTTTGTTCAAAAGATAATTCACAATCAAACGATGACCTCAAAAATGGGAAGAGTATGGCCTTCGATTTTCGTGAAATTTTGCTGAAAAAAAATGTTTTGGCAATTATCTCGTAAACAAATGGGTTCACAGCATTTTGCCAAAAAAACTTGTTCGAAATGCAGCTTAAAATCTCCATATGAGTCACGGTCGACTAACTCGGCCATCTCCGAAAATCTCCGTGACCCTTCGGGTCAACGGACACAGGTCAGCGCGGCACCCGGAAGAGTCAGTCCTCAGTTGTGTTCAAGTATCGTCACGATAATGATCGAGTAGAGTCAGTTACTCATCAGTATTCTTAATTTAATATCTTGCTCAGTACATCAACTTGTTGATTAATTTCAGTCTAAATTCTGTGACTCAACGAATTGAAAGTGAAAAGATAATCATCAGTTTAATTAGACCTTCAACAATAATAAATTACCAAAGAGTGTAAATAATTTTGACAAGTGGTTCGATCCTACATAAATATAGTGTGATTTTTTCAATCCGCCTAAAGTAATTTTCCCAACATATCCCTCCACATTTTTATCCTACATCCATCCTAACCCTAGACATTCACCAAACAGTGGTCCTTCGAGCCGGATTGTTGGTGAAAACGTGTGTAAAGTACTGTGGAAAATTCAAAGTACGCCTCGTGTCGAATAAACTTTCGGGGTTCACACGGGCAATTCAAGGGACAGTTCTAGAAGATTCGCTTTGTTTACACCCGCAAAGACGACGGGGTAACAAAGGACACAGTGAGTGCATCAGTATCGGAGATCGGAAAGAATCGGGAGTGACGAATGTCGCCGAAGCCCACCAACGCTTGGCCACGTGCGCCACGCGACAGGCGACTCACCAAAGTTCGGCGATCGGTAACTCACCCAACTCTCAACGGTCGGTAACTCACCCAACTCTCAGCAGTCGGTAATTCACCCGACTCCCAAAAGCCGATAACTCACCTAAACCGACAACTTAGCACGGACAATCACCATGGCAGACGACACTAAGGTCAACGAACCCAAGGAAGAAACTGAACAACCAGTGAGCGATAGTGAGGAAATCGAGCAAGTCACACAAGAAGAGGGACTGCCAGCAAAAAATGAAGCAGTTACAACGAAGCCAATCATCACTCCTGAGGATATCAACAGTCCAAGTGGAGCGTCAGGATCAAAGGAGCCCGCTCAACGAACGGGCTCCTTTGAAGTTGAAGTCAACGCCTGCAGCTTCAAAAATAGCACTCACCATGCAACAGGAAGGTCAATCAAGACTATTAACGTTTAAGGTAGAGACTCTGATGGAGATCCATCATGACCTCCCGCAGGACGTTGAAACTGAAGAGGACCTCACCCTAGAGGATAATCGAGGCAGAATGGAACGAATATTTTCAAATTTATGCCAATCCAGCTGAGTTTCTTTCCCCTGATCACGAGTATGTCAATGAAATGATCCATGAACGAGCCACCAGGACAAGACGACAAGCCCTGATGCTCATTGCTCGGCTGAAGGGTCAACTGGCAAGGAAGAAGGATTCAATTAGCAGCTCAACGGATCAAATCCAGGAAAATCAGCTAAAGCGTCTTGACATCAAGCCATTCGATGGGAAACCGAAGGAATCGAAGGAGTTCAGTGACCTTTTCTTGTCACTGGTGGGAAACATAACATCAATTCCACCAGTACAGAAATTGTTGAGACTAAAGGGATGCCTGAGAGGTCCTGCAGCAGCTCTCCTCTCAACCGTTCAGGCCAAGGACAAAAACTATGACAAGGCTTGGCAGAAACTCACCAGGAAGTACGAGGACCCTAGGCTCGTCGCTCAGTCGCTTTTTAACAGAATCCTGACGCTGCCGAAAATCACTCAAGCGACAGAAGAGAACCTCAGCGCCAATGAAGTAGCAGCATTAGAGACCCTCGATCAACTGCAAGACGTGACGGGGTTAACGACGGAAAACGTTGCTGAACAGCTGATAGCCCACTTACTGAGGAGATCTCTTGATGCAGAGACACTCAAGCAGTGGGAACTAAAGTTGGGAGACTCCAAGGATTTCCCGACCCTCAAAGAATTCGTGGCATTTATCGAAGCCTGCGGCAGAGGGATCAACGCAGGTGCAAAGCTGTTATCAACGGAGGAAATCAACACAGCCACGAAGAAGTCAGCTCCACCAAAGAAAAGGAGCATCTATACAGCAGCAACTCACCAGCAAGAAAATAAGGAGCCAGAAAGGCAACTTCCCAGGAACTGCTGTGCCTACTATCAGGATAAGCATTTCATCGCATCCTGCCAGAGGTTCATTGAGCTCACCCCAGCTAAGAGAAATGAAGTCGTTATCACCAAGGGGCTGTGCTTCAACTGCTTAGGGCCACACACGAAGGCCAAGTGCACGTCGGACAAGAAGTGCCACAAATGCAGCAGGTATCACCACACTCTCATCCATGGAGGGAGCTCATGGACGATGAGCCCGCCTACAGCCCGACGCACTCCAGCTGAGCCCATCCAGACTGCCGGAACATCCAGGCAGCAAGAGGATCATGGGAACAGTGAGTGAATGAATTCAACCTCAATAGCACACTCACCATCTCATTGATCATTCCTCAACATTAGAATCCAGTACATCACCACCAGTAGCAGTGAACTTCAACATCAAAATGATCAATGAGAAAGCAGAGAACATCAACCACGAAATTCACCAAGGAGAAGCAGATCAACAGTCAGTGCTGTTGGCAACAGCCCGAGTAAAAGTAATATCATCGAGAGGATTCACGACAAAAGCCAGAGCACTCATCGACCAGGGTTCAGAGGTATCGTTTATCTCCGAACAATTAGTTAACCAACTGCATTTACAGAGAAGAGCATCAACAGTGGAGCTAGTGGGAATTGGTGGAATTAATTCAGGACATACCAGAGGAATAGTCTCAGTCACTCTACAAGCGAGCCACGGGACTGATCAACTGCAACTCAACGCCCACATTCTAAAGGAGCTCACCGCAATAATTCCATCATTTTCATGCTCATCAGCGAGGATCGGCTCACTTCAGAATCTTCAGCTAGCTGATCCCCATTATCTAAGGCCTGGACCAATCGACATCATACTAGGGGCTGACAACTATGGGCAGATCATCATGGATGAAGTTGTCAAGTCAGNCAGGGTTCAGAGGTATCGTTTATCTCCGAACAATTAGTTAACCAACTGCATTTACAGGGAAGAGCATCAACAGTGGAGCTAGTGGGAATTGGTGGAATTAATTCAGGACATACCAGAGGAATAGTTTCAGTCACTCTACAAGCGAGCCATGAGACTCATCAACTGAAACTCAACGCCCACATTCTAAAGAAGCTTACCGCAATAATTCCGTCATTTTCATGCTCATCAGCGAGGATCGGCTCACTTTAGAATCTTCAGCTAGCCAATCCCCATTATCTAAGGCCTGGACCAATCGACATCATACTAGGGGCTGACAACTATGGGCGGATCATCATGGATGAAGTTGTCAAGTCAGAGCAATCGAGAGTAGTTGGCCAACGCACAGTATTTGGTTGGATAGTATCCGGACCAATCGAATGCACACATTGTTCAATAAAGGTATCTCTATCAGCTGTACGAGAATCTTCGAGTGAACAACTTCTAGAGCTTCTCCAGAAATTTTGGGTCCAGGAAGAACTGCCAAACAAGAGATCATCAACATCAGAGCTTTCACCAGATGAGTACGAGTGCGAGATACACTTTAGAGCAACTCATAGCAGAGACAACACCGGGCGATACATCGTGAGACTGCCGCTCAAAACTTCAGCTGCAGCGCTAGAAGAATCGAAATTCAAAGCAGCACATCAACTCAAATCGATCGTGAGTAGACTCAACACAGATCAAGCATACTCCCAGTTGTACAGAGAGTTCATCAACGAGTACGCAGCACTGGGGCACATGAGAATAGCACCAGAGCCTCCAGAACCCGTGCCAGCCTACTATCTTCCACATCACGGGGTACTGAGAGAGGAGGCCATCACGACGAAGCTGAGAGTCGTATTCAATGGCTCTAGCCCCAGTTCATCAGGTATGTCACTTAACGATATACTGTATTCTGGTGAAAAATTGCAGAACGATGCCATGGTTATCCTGACTTGGATGAGGAGGCACAGGCTCGTATTTGGCACGGATATTGTCAAGATGTTTCGCCAGATACGAGTTCACCAAGATGACTGGATTTTCAGAGAATCCTGTGGATCGACGAGAATCAACAACCATTCACCTACCAGTTAACGACAGTCACCTACTGACTAAATTGTTCTCAATGGTTGTCGTTACGTGTTCTTCAACAACTAGCAGAAGATGAAGGGCACCGCTTCCCAGCAGCAGTAGAGACACTCACCAGAGGTCGTTACGTTGACGACATTTACGGCGGTGCAGAGACAGAAGACGATCTCAAGGAGATCGCAACGCAACTACAAGGGCTTTGCCATGCAGGAGGCTTCTCTCTACAGAACTGGAGCAGCAATTGTCCAGAGACTCTGCAGGATTTGGGCCTATCAACTGAAGAAGAAATTATCCAGTTCGAGGAGTCAGTCACCAAGGTACTTGGATTGTGTTGGTATCAATCCACCGACATATTCCGGTACAAATCAAAAGACTTCAATACGACGACAATCACCAAGAGAGGAGTCTCTTCTGAAATAGCCCAGATCTTTGATCCACTGGGATTTATCGCACCAGTTGTCGTCCAGGGAAAGATTCTCCTACAAGATCTTTGGAGATTGAAATTAAAATGGGATGATCCTCTTCCAGACGAGTATGTTCAACGCTAGAAGACATTCCTAGAGAATCTCAATGACCTAGATAGAGTAACTATACCTAGATGGCTGAGAATTTCAACAGAGAGACTCAACATCCAAATTCATGGATTTGCAGACGCTTCAACGGTAGCCATGAGTGCAGTGGTGTATATTCGCACCAAAACCCTCAACGACTCAACATCAACAGTGCTGGCAGGCGCGAAGACGAATGTAGCACCACTCAAGCGCATGACCATCCCTTGTTTAGAGCTCACAGCAGCTCTTCTACTGACTCAGCTAGTGGCATCAACGAAGCAAATGCTTCAACTCGACCAGGTAGAGACCTATCTCTGGTCTGACTCTTCAGTAGCACTAGCTTGGATCAGGAGCAACGCATCAAGATGGAAGGTCCACAACAGGTTCGTCAAGATCCAGGAAACTCTCCCGAATACTACCTGGAGACATGTCAGTGGGAAGGAGAATCCAGCTGATTATGCCTCCAGAGGCATATCACCGAGCCAGTTAGCAGATCATCAACTGTGGCGGTCAGGACCTGAATGGATCAATAAGGATCCTGAAGAATGGCCACAATCATCAATCGATGCTCCAGCCATGGACATCCCAGAGGTGGCCAGAGAAGCAAAACCAGCATCAGCCCATCTAGTTGCAATTAAAATCAACGAAATTGCAGAGCTACTTAACAGGTATCAGACGATGGCTAAATTGCTAGCCGTAACAGCTACGGCCAATAGAGCTATCGACAGATTCAGGAGGCAGCCAACGCCCCCGGGACCTGTCTTGACAAAAAGAGAATTCAACGACGCAAGGTTATTTTGGGTAAAGATAACCCAATATCAATACTTTGAGCCAGCCATTCGAGTACTCCAGAAAAATCACCAACTACCGAGATATCATCAACTAGCGAAGCTGACACCCACACTAGACAACGAAAGGATCATGAGACTTGGGAGATGCCTCAAGAACTCGCAGCTGAATCCAGATGAAATTCACCCAATAATCTTGCCTCGCCAGTCACGCCTCACCACACTACTCATCGAAGAACTTTGAGGTGTGTAGGCCTCACCTTGGCCTACATACGTCAAAGGTACTGGATAATCGGCGGCAGAGGCACAGTTAGAGCATATATTCAACGCTGTGCCATCTGCACCGGACACCGAGGAAGACAGGCCCAGCAACAGATGGGTCAACTACCAGCAACGAGAATCTCACCACCAAGAGCATTTCTCCACACAGGGGTGGACTATGCAGGACCGTTCGTCATCCTCAAATGGAGACCAACGAATGCACAACCAGGGTCAATGCACATTGCAGTTTTTGTATGCTTCACCACATCAGCAGTTCACCTAGAGCTAGTCACCAGACAGACAACTGACGCCTTCATCGGAGCCTACAAGAGATTCACCGGAAGACATGGTATTCCAGCTGTCATGTACAGTGACAATGCCACTACCTTCGTGGGCGCAGCAGAGGTCCTAGAGAAGATCTATCACCGAGCATCCAGAGAAAATAAGCAGGTTCAGGCTGCTCTCGCCACCAATGGGACTCAATGGAGCTTTTCACCACCACGAGCACCCCATTTTGGCGGCAAGAGGGAAGCAGCAGTGAAATCAACAAAGTATCACCTTAGAAGAGTCTTGGGGACAACAACACTCACATTTGAGAAACTCAACAGTGTCGTGATCCAGATAGAGACCTGCCTAAATTCCAGGGCAATCTGTCCCATGTCAGATGACCCAGACGATCTCCAAGTACTCACCCCAGGACACTTCCTGATAGGTGAGCCGCTTCAACTGATTCCAGAGCCATCAATCATCGACAAGAACCCCAGCAAACTGCAGAGATGGAACCTGGTAACGCAGCTAACACAACAATTCTGGTCCAGGTGGGCTAAAGAGTGTCTTCAACGATATCAGGCAATCTATAAGTGGACACATCGAGAAGAGAACATCAAGGTTGGCGACATGGTGCTGATGATCGACGAAAATTATCCACCAGCACAATGGCCAATCGGAACAGTCATAGCGACACGCTCAGGAGCAGATCGGCTAACGAGAGTCGCAACTGTAAGAACCGCAAAAGCAGAAGTACCAAGGCAGGCAGATGGATCACCAATCATACAAAACATCAGAAAAATCTACACAGAGCTTGACAGACCAATCACCAAGCTTTGCCTACTGCCATCAGATCCACCACCTCCAGAGCAACCTCCAGACGATGATGCAGAAGAAGCTCAACAGGATTAGAATCACCATTAATTCATCATCCCTGATGATGAATTGCCCCCGGGGTGTTCGAAATGCAGCTAAAAATCTCCATATTAGTTACGGTGGACTAACTCGGCCATCTCCGAAAACCTCCGTGACACAGGTCACAGGTCTGCGCGGCACCCGGAAGAGTCAGTCATCAGTTGTGTTCAAGTATCGTCACGATAATGATCGAGTAGAGTCAGTTATTCATCAGTATTCTAAATTTAATATCTTGTTCAGTACATCAACTTGTTGATTAATTTCAGTCTAAATTCAGTGACTCAAAGAATTGAAAGTGAAAAGACAATCATCAGTTTAATTAGACCTTCAACAATTAAATTACCAAAGAGGGTAAATAATTTTGACAAGTGGTTCGATCCCACATAAATATAGTGTGATTTTTTTCATCCGCCTAAAGTAATTTTCCCAACATCTCCCTCCACATTTTCATCCCACATCCACCCTAACCGTAGACATTCACCAAACAAAACTTTTTTTTAGAAAATCAAATTTTCCACAAAAAAAGCTCTATGGTGTAATAACGTGAACCCAATAATTTATTAAATAATTACATAACAATGTTAATTACATTTTTGTAATTATTTAATAAACTACTGAATTTAGGTTATGTCATCATAAAACGCTTTTTGTAGGAAATTAGATTCCCTACAAAAAACATTTAATGGCAAAATGTTGTAAACTCATTTGTTTACAAGATAATTGTAAAAAAGTGTTTTTCAACAAAAAAAATCCACGAAAATCAGAGCCCGTCCCTTTCCCATTTTTGAGACAGTTGTTCATTTGGACATTTGGCCATGGTCGCAGCTATGGGATGGACGTTGGGGATTGTCAAACGTCACTAGGGTCACTTGCGGATGGTCAAACGTCACGAGAGTCCCTTTGGGAAGAGTCAAACGTCACAAGAGTCATTTGGGGGAAAGTCAAACGTCACGAGAGTCCCTTTGGGAAGAGTCAAACGTCACAAGAGTCATTTGGGGGAAAGTCAAACGTCACGAGAGTCCCTTTGGGAAGAGTCAAACGTCACAAGAGTCATTTGGGGGAAAGTCAAACGTCACGAGGGTCACTTGATGCAGAGTCAAATGTTACAAGGATCACTTGGGGGAGAGTCACATCTCACAAAAATCCCTCGGTAGAAAGTCAAACGTCACGAGGGTCACTTGGAGGAAGAGTCAAACGTCAAGAAGGTCACTTGAAGGAACAGTCAAACCTCACGAGGGTCACTTGGGAGAAGAGCCAAACGTCACAAGGGTCACTTGGGGGAAAGTCAAACGTCACAAGGGTGATTTGCGGATGGCCAAACATCACGAGGGTCATTTGCGGATGGTCAAACGTTAGGAGGGTGAGTTGGGGGAGAGTCAAACGTCACAAGGGTGATTTGCGGATGGCCAAACATCACGAGGGTCATTTGCGGATGGTCAAAGGTTAGAAGGGTGCCTTGGGGGAGAGTCAAACGTCATAAGGGTCATTTGCGTTTGGTCAAACGTCACGAGGGTCATTTAGGCGAGAATCAAACGTCACAAGAGACACTTGGGGGATAGTCAAACTTCACAAGGGTCACTTGTGGATGGTCAAACGTCACAAAAGTCACTAGGGAAAAATCACAATAGTTTTCGGGGAAAATTTGAATTATTGACAATTCAAGAGATGCAATATTTCAGATAGCCTAGAAGCTTGACAACAACAGAAACAATTTCCAAAGTTGCTACTTACACAATACACATGGTGTTAAATGAGACATCCATACATTGGCTTTTTCCACTTGCAATTCTCGAGAGCCTCGTGAGCCTCAGACTCTAAAAATAATTTTATTTTCCCCCAAGTGACCCTCGTGAGCTTTGATTGTTTCTTCAAGTGACCCTCCTTACGTTTGTCTCTCCCTCAAGGCACCCTCCTAACGTTTGACCACCCACAGGTGACCCTTATAACGTTTGATTCTCCTCCCAAATGACGCTTGTGAAGTTTGACTTTCCACCAAGTGACCCTCGTGACGTTTGACCATCACATGGCTACGGCCGTGGCCATTGTTGCACGTGAAAGGATGGAAATCCAACGTTATCATTAGGTGGCCCTGGAAAGGGCCGATTTTTATCATTGCCCTCAAAAGGACAATTTTCTCCATGATCCTAAAGAACATTCTCCACGTGTCCTCCACCAGCTGCAATGCATAGTCCTGCTCTCTTCAGAAGATTCTCCCTCATGCGTT